AAATGAACCTAAACGAAAAAATACATTATGAAATCTATTCCATGAGATGACATAGCATAGATTGCAAAAGAGAAGTCGGTCGGAAGACCTGCTTGTTGCCCCAGCAACAAGAACGCATCTAGTTATTCTTCTTTTTTCTTCTTATTTCTTCTCCGGACTTTTTTTGTCCGCGAGTGTTCTCAGAAACTGTTCACCAAACTAAGCTAAAACCTTTTTAGGGTTAATAGGTGTGTAGTGTAGGTGTGCGGAACAAAGGTCATTTTGCGCGCATACGCATGCACGTGCGTGCGCGTGATATGAATGAAATGACTGGTTTACTTAATATTAGTATAACTTTTACATTTTTTAATGAAATGATTTGAAACTTATTATATAAAGATATATTAATAGTGAAGATAATGTGACACTGTCAAATTAGCACGAACTCACGCGCATGCACGTGCGCTTCGCTCTGATTGGCTGAAACAAAAATCTCAATATCTTTTCTGTTTTCTGACGAAATGCTATGAAATTTAAAACTTAGGCATACTTTAGGATGTCCTACAACACGATATATAGCAATTGTCATGAAATTACGCGCATGCACGTGCGCTGCAATCTGATTGGCTGAAACTTTAAATGGCTATAACTCCATTGGTTTTCAACCAAACAGCATGGGATTTAGAACATAGACAGATTTAATGGACTCTTAGAAGAAGGTGTGGTCGTCATGAACATGCTTGCACGTGCATGAACGTGCGCTTCGCTCTGATTGGCTGAAACAAAATTCTCAATATCTTTTTTGTTTTTGACGAAATGCTTTGAAATTTTAAACATAGGCATGCTTTAGGATATCCTACAATATGATATATAATAATTTTCATCAAATCACGCACATGCACGTGCACTGCAATCTGATTGGTTGAAACTTTAAATGGCTCTAACTCCATTGGTTTTCAACCAAACAGGATGGGATTCAGAACATAAATAGACATTATAGACTCCTACAAAAGGGTATGATCATGATGCACATGCATGCACGTGCGTGCACTTGAAAGGAGTAAAATAACAAATACACTAGATTAAACATTTTTTTGGATTAAATGCTGTAATATTTAGTATATTAAAATATATGAATAGTGTAGACAAGATGATATGGTAATTATGCACACGCATTCAAATGCGCATGCGTGCAATGCTGAAATTGATTACTTCTTGGAAAACTTTGTTAAAATCCTAAATGTAACGCGTTTGTCTTATTTAATGAAGCTTACAGGGAATATGGCACAAAAGGGAGCTGGGGAGCGTTTGGGGAACATCTGTAACGGTTCCCGTTACAATTAGCCCTAGTTACTATTCTGTTAAGTAGAATATTCATACATATTTTATTTTTCAGAATGGGGAATACGGTGTAGATATTTGTTTTTGTAAATAGCGTTTGGTAGATTTTTTTTAATGCCGCTATGTGTTTTTCTTATGCGAGTACGCATAAAGCTGGGGTGGGTGTGATGAAACGCAAAGCTGTTCCTATATGTTCGTCATAGCGAAAGTTATCGCCCTTGTTATTATTAGTTACTAATTATATACATCGAAAATAAATACTTAATTAGTGTTGATTTTGAATTAAAGTGATCAATAATAATCATTGTATGTTACTTTAGTTGGGTTACTAAAGATTTGTTGATTGGAAGCTAAATTAGTGTTTTAATTAGTTTGTAAATAAATAATCACTTTGAATTATAGATGGTGTTAGGATATATAGGATTTTTACTGGCGAGGATTGCGAGAGGTTCTAGAGGTCAAACTTGAACAACCTTGCGTGTACATGTAAGTGTGCGGACTTCCCTGCTTATATTGTACTGTGATAAGTGATAAGTGTGCGGTCATCCCTGCTTATTGCTTGACAGAGTGTGTGGTCATCCCTGCTCTGTAATTGGCATCTCTAAGTAGCAAGTGTGCTGACATCCCTGCTTGATGCTGCGCAAGATCAGGTGGGTGGACATCCCTGCCTGCATCTTGTGGTAGAGCATTGGTGTGCGGACATCCCTGCCAGTGTCTCTAGGCTAGAACCGTATTAGTGTCAAGTGTGTGGTCATCCCTGCTTGTCACTGCGCAAGGGCAAGTGTGCGGACATCCCTGCTTGTCTCTTGTGGAAGTGCGCTGGTGTGTGGACTTCCCTGCCAGTGTCACTTGTTCGCTACCGGTAAAGACCTTATATACGCAGTACCAAGTGATTAAGACTGCGCATTGTACATATTTGCAGCATCTCAAGGCTATCCGTTTTTTATCACGGGTACGAGCCTGCTGGGGTTCACAGGCAGTGACCTCCCTTGCACGTTACACATGTCTTACCTGTCACAACAGGAGTGCCTGGGGTTCAATATAAGGTCCCCTATAGCTTTTTATGTATATTAATGACGTTCCCTTAAATGGTGGTCATGGAAACATGATAAACAGGATGACAGCAGCTTTATCATCATGTGGAAAATTCTTATATCGACAGTTTAACCTAGTATGTAAATAATTTAACATTATATATTTATATTCTTTAGTCAATGTTTGACCGACATCTTTCGAATGTATTGTTAGGTGGCCATTATTTTTAATTGTCAGCCGATTTTCAATTTACACGATTATGACAAAGTGCACACACGTCGGTGCGACTGGTCGACAAGAAATGATCACTTCTCCATGGCACCTGATCCTACCTCTTGTTTTCAGGGGTCCGTTTTCTCCACTTATAATTTGTTTTGTTTAATCGGACTTTGAGGAAGATCATTGGCCACCATCTTCACATCTTACTGCTTGTACAATCTAGGATATATTTATATAAATATAATTCGCTGTTTAAAAAGGGGAGGAATACGTCTCTGACAAGACTGTGCCTCTAATGGTGTATTTTTAAAACAAAAAAAGATATCTTCATACAACCTACTTGTTGAAAAGAACTGTAGAGGCAGTAGTTTTAAAAGAATTTCACAGAAATGTCTCCTTTCAATTACCATATGTCAACACCATTGGTCAATATCAAGAACTTTAAAGAGAATTATATATCTTAGTATAGTTTAATTTTGAGTCAAGCATTGTTGATATTGGACCAAACTTGTAAAAGGAGTATTTTTTTTTAAAGCAGTTCAAAGGACTTTCTACTTTTAGTAACAATGGCTTTCTTAATTTCAAAATCCAATGTATATGTAAAGATTTTAGTATACCTGTACAAAATGACCGGGATGAGTCGAGTTTTGTAAGAAATTTAGTTGGCAACATCATTTGTAGAAATGAAAAAAAACAAACAAACAAACAAGAGGCCCAGGGGCCACATCGCTAGGAAAAAGCACAGATAAGGTCTGAACTGAAAAGTTTACTGAGGGGGTGGGGGTGTTCCCTACCCTCGATCCTACCCCAAAAGGCCATGATTTGAACAAATTTAAATCTTCAATACATGAGGATGCTTACATGTCAATATGACTAAACAAAGCTTTTCTGTTCTTGGGATTTTTCCTTTATTTTTCCAGGTAAAACTGTGATTGACCTTTGTGGCTCCACCCTATCCCGGAAGGGGGGGGGGGTATGACTTGAACAAACTTAAATCTACACTAAAGAGGATGATTCCATATAAATATCACTAATCATGGCTTTGACGTACTTGAGAAGAGGGGATCACGATTTGAACAAACTTGAAACTACACTACCTGAAGATGATTCCTCATGAGTTTCATCTTTCCTGGCCCAGTGGTTCTTGAAAAGAAGATTTTTTAAAAATTCCATTAATTTTTCACTATTTCTATAATTATCCCCCCTTGGAAGAGGGCGTGGCCCTTAATTTGAATAAATTTGAATCCCCTTCACCCAAGGATACTTTGAAGCAAGTTTGGTTGAAATTGGCCCAATGGTTCTTGAGAAGATGAAAATGTGAAAATTTTACGTCGACAACGACAGACAGCGGACAAATTAAATTTTGATCAGAAAAGCTCACTTGAGCCTTCGGCTCAGGTGAGCTAAAAACGAAAATTAAAATCATTTATCTTAATATTGTTGATATTAAATCAAAATTGTTTTTCGGAGTACAGTGTTTTGAAACAATTTCAAAGCAAATTTATTTCTAAGAACCAAGTCAAAACTGTTCGTGCAAATCAAATCAATACACAGAATTTTATCATAATGTATTTTCTTACTTTACTGATTGTTATTGAAATTGGACCAAAACTGTAGGGGGAGCAGCAATTTTATTAATTGCTTACAGACAAATGAATGGCAGACGTCTTACCAATGCATAAGCTCTTCTAGCTATTCTGGTTTTTGGCTAGTAGAGCTAGAAAGGACTAATACGGCTATACTCTGAAAATTATACATTATACTCTTTTTTGTTGCCTTCATTATTTGGTGTAAACAGCATCAAATTATTCACATTTAGACAAACAGAATTGTTTTATTCTGCGAAACAAATTAATATACTACCCAATTGTTTTTAGCATCTAAAACAATGCTGTAAGGTATATAAAAACAAAAACATAACTCTTAATGATTAAACATAAACTATTAATGATTAAACCTCAACTGTTACTGATTTAACCTAAAGTGTTTCTGATTAAGTCATGGAATGCACAGCGTCTGGTTGTCTCTTGAAAATGTGTCGTTTATTGTAAAAGATAAACAAAACAAGAAAGTATTCTACTAATATCACAGAAAATTAAAATCAATCCAGAAAAACAATATTTTTTTTAACCACAGAATAATTTAATTTTGGTTGTATGCGTCATTTGATTGGATAAAAAATTAATCTTATTGTATAACCTGGGTTTCCTAAGTCATAATTACTTATGTCAGGAACTAATAATCCCCTAGAGGTACTTTTATAATATGAACATTTTAAAGACGTTTTTAAGAGAGAAATTGTGTGTTTTCTATTCTTGATGATGGAAAATGAAATTATAAGGAATGAATTAAATAGCAACCCAAGTTATACGGCTATAACCTGGGTTGGAGCAGTTCACGCTTTAAAAAAAAACAAAAAACAAAAAAAAAACAGCATCGTTCAGTATAACTTGGGTTGCTATTCAATTCTTTCCTTAAATTTTGTTTTTGTTTTCCTGTTTTATCCCGCATAGCTGTGTTTCATTTGTTGATTGTCTGAACTATTAATGCCCTAAACCCATATATACAATACAAATGTACAGACTTGTTTATATATCCAGATTCCTGCGTTATTCTTAATACTGCCTGGTTATCAGTAAACTTTCTAAGGTCCAGCTTATAAACTTTAACATTACCCGGTACATATCTGTATAAAATTCTAAATAAAGAATTTAAGATAGAAGACATGATCTGTAGAACACAAGTTATATGTACAGTAAATGAGTACAAAAGAAATCGGGACTCAGAATGGGATACCAGAATGAGAATTGATAAGCAAATGTCAAATGGTTCTAAATTACAATCTTTGAAATGAAGCTTTCATTTGTTGAAACATTGAGTTACACACTGTAGAAAGCACCAATATTCGAATTCATATGAACAAAACTAGCACCTGGTTCTATAAAATAAAGACCATCATCACACAAAGTTGATCAACAGTTAAATGAAACTTAATGCACTAAGAAAATCTTAAAAGATTCCCTTTAACAAATATTAACTGCATATTGCATGGTGTGTAACATTAAAAAAAGATGGTCAATAAACATATTTAATAATGAAAACCAGGCAATATAAAATAATAGGTTGAGAACCAGTTACTTAGTTTTTCAGATAAAAGTGTAAGTTAATTATTATGAATTAACTGAAAAGTAAAAATGGAAAAGCATTAATATCATATCATGTACATGTCAATCAAGTCTTACTTACTACCTGTATATAACAAACTTCTGATATATGCAACTGCAAAATTTTCCCTAGAGGGTTTCACAAAATCAAACTAATCAATGAAGTATTTCATCAAGTATTTTAAGCAGTATCTATTTAATATACAGTATATAATGAATTTTAAAAAAATGCAAGAATCTGATTCTCTGCTTTAAGTGACTACCTATAGGGATGACCTTCTTCATTCTGATGGGGGTGAGGGAGGGGTGAGGAGGGGAATTGTTTTAAAGTCACATTATTTACATTATTTATTTTCATGTCGGTGAAGGATCAAGTACAGATTTTTTTATTTTGTTCTACACTAAAAGAGTATGACCAGCAAAAAAGTGAACACATCGAACACAGGGACAGATTATTTATTTCCACTCCAGTTGAGGACAGATTTTATTTTCCAACTTTTGTTGGAGGACAGAAGAATTATTTCCAACATCTGCCACTCCCCCCCCCCCCTTCAGAATCAAATGGTAGTCCCCTAATTGTATCAAATGTGACCATTTTATAATTTCTGTTCATAGATTGCTCAAAAACACAGGCTTAAAATAGGATTGACTACTGTACTACTGTACTTACACGAGGCATGAATTTTTCTTTTCTCAGACAAACTTATTCCTCTCAATATGAGAAAACTTCTCTCTCTTGATCAATACAAAGCATTCAATATTTACACACTCACACTAAAATACCTCCTGAATATGAAACATAAGGAGGCAGCGTTAAATGAAATGTTAAAGACTTTTTGGCACAATTTGAACTTGATCACAGAAAAAAAAGATGATTAAAACTGTCCCCATCCTGGGACAGTAGAGCACCTTTGCCTTTGGTTTAAGTTCAATAAAATACCATGAAATATACAAAGCATATCAGAGACCACCATGTGATGTGGCCCGTATCAATGTCATTGAAAGTATTTCACTCCTAAAAATCATCTAAAGTTGTGGCTCCGCCCCATAATGGTATTGGCCCCAACCCTTTTAGGTTTGTGGCTCCACCCCTTTTGGTTTGTGGTCCCATCCCTTTAGGTTTGTAGCCCCGCCTCTTGGACGTTGTCAGCTACAGGGATGGAGAAGGAGGAGCTGGGAATGACGTCCTCGTCCAGGTCCTCGAGGTCAGCGTTAGGTCGACTCCGTCTCCGGAGTTCTGTCATCGTGTGAATGGTCTGTTCCCGGCTCTCCTGTTCCTCCTCCAACCAGCTCTGTCAACGATTAAAAAACAACAATAAACAACTCTGTCAAACATTAATAATCAACGATAAACAACTCTGTCAACGATAAATAAACAATAAATAAAAAAAAATTTTAAAAAAAGAAAAAAAAATAACAATAAACAAACAAATAAATAAAAAACGATAAATAAACAACAATAAATAATTAACTCTGACAAAAATAAATAAACAACAATAAACAACCATCTCTTTCAACAATAAATAAACAACTTTGTCAACGATTAATAAACAATGATAATTATACACAACTCTGTCAACAATAAATTAACTACGATAAACAACCAACTCTGTCAACAATAAATAAACAACAATGAATAAACATAAATAAACAACCATCTCTGCTAACCATAAATTACCAATGATAAACAAACAACTCTGTCAACAACTAGAAAACTGACCAGTCAGCAAGGGCCCTGCCATGGGGTAGAATTATAAGGGTGCAGCTTAGGGAATGATTCAAAAATATATGACAAGTAAGGAACAGAAACTGTATTCTTATAATTTCAAGATAATTCCTGAATATCCAGAAACCTGTAACTAATATCCTTATATTTACATAAGGCAGTTAAGAACAACTCAACACTGAATGAATATCTAAACAATTAAATGCCAGCCTTCAATGAATGCAAATACATATCATGCAGGCTTGACCTTAACTTCAAAACAAACAGCAATTGCAGACAAAGGTTTTCATTAATCTTAAAGTGACAGATAAAGATAGGCCTACTAAATTTCCTGCAGCAGACTAGATAATTAATGCCAAGGGATTAATTGTACTTCTCTCTCATCATTTTCTTCTGAATTTATAATAAGAACTTTTTTTCTGTAATGATAGAATGAGGTTTTAATCCTACTACATTAAGAATTAATAATATTCTTGAATTTACATGAAGCAAGAAAAAAATAAATAAATAAATAAAAATAAAAAAAATATATCTTCTTTAATCTATTTCTTGTTTTAAGAATTCAATAAAATCAGAACTCATTGTGTAGGGTATTTCAACAAAAATAAAGTAAAAACATTTATTCTTCAATCCACATTTCAGAGTGTTCATAGCATTGCAAATGGACTTCAAAACAAACTTCATGTGCAGACAGAGGTGGTAAATAATCTCAATGTGACAGATAAAGATAATGCTTTGGATTTTCTTCAGGAGGAAAGCTAATTAATCCCAAGGGACTCATTCATTGCAGTTTACAATGGGAACATTTTCAGAAGTTATCTCTCTTTGCCAATTCATTTTTATATAAAGTTATGGAATCTACCCCACCACCCCAGCTCCAAACCAGAGGATATAGAGAAACAAACTTAGCATCAAAATATGTTTTTTTGCCTACTGAACTACAATACCAAATTTGAACTTAATTGGGCTACCATAAAAAAAGTTATTAGGAAAAAACAGAAAATTTGTGGACGGAAGAATGACAGACGGACAGCTAGACAGACAGAGTGATTACTATAGGGCACCCGCAAATCCTTGCGGGGCCCTAATAAATAACCAACTCTGTCAAAAATAAATAAACAATGATTATTAACCAACTCTTTCAATGATGAATAAACAACTTAGTCAACAACAAATACACAACAATAAGCAGACAACTCTGTCAACCATAAATAAACAACAATTAACAAACAACTTTGTCAACAATAAATAAACAACAATAGAAAAAACTACAAGTAACAACTTTGTCAACAACAAATAAACAAGAGGCCCATGGGCCTTATAGGTCACCTGAGTATTGTGTAACAACTTTCATACAATTGAATTTGGTTCCTGTTTTAAACCAGAGGCCATGAAATTCACAATTTACAATTTTGAAAGAGGCACCATTGCTTATCATAATTATAAACTTAGCATGCTTACTCTATTTACTTAATACCCAGATGTGGATCAGAGTAACAAAGAGAAATGCACTTACACTTTATACCCAGTTGTGCACCTCACCCTAAAGGCACCACTGACCCATGGTCCACATATTTCAAAATTTTGCAAATTTTATCATAAAATGGTTGATTAATACCAAAGAGAAGATTTCAAAGCATTAATTTATTTTCAGACTATGTATCCCCCCTCCCCCTCTGACCCTGGGGGCATAAAAAAATACTTTGCTAGATGCACCTTTCTTCATCATATATATATATATACTTGGATCATTGGCATAAAACCCAGAAGCAAAGAAAAATATTTTCAAAGAATTAATGTATTTTAACTATATAATCAGTAGAGCCACTCCCTAACACCAGAACCCCTAACCCTGGGGCCATAAAATTCACAAATCTGGAAGAGGCACTCTTGCTCATCATAGCTATGTGTTTAGTTAGTTTATTCAATACCCAGGAGCAGAGAAGAAGATTATCAAAGAAATAATGCATTTTCACTATATAATCTATAGAGCCCCTCCCTAACACCAGAACCCCTGACCCTGGGGCCATTAAATTCACAAATCTGGAAGAGGCACTCTTGCACATCATAACTATGTTCTTAGTTAGTTTATTTAATACCCAGAAGCAGAGAAGAAAATTTTCAAGTAATGAATACATTTTCACTATATGATCTATACAGCCCCGCCCTAACACCAGAACCCCTGACCCTGGGGCCATAAAATTCACAAATCTGGAAGAGGCACTCTTGCTCATCATAACTATGTGCTTAGTTTGTTTATTTAATACCCAATTGCAGAGAAGAAGATTTTCAAGTAATAAATGCATTTTCACTATATAATCTATAGAGCCCCGCCCTAACACCAGAACCCCTGACCCTGGGGCCATAAAATTCACAAATCTGGAAGAGGCACTCTTGCTCATCATAACTATGTGTTTAATTAATTTATTTAATACCCAATTGCAGAGGAGAAGATTTTCAAAGAAATAATGCATTTTCACTATATAATCTATAGAGCCCCTCCCTAACACCAGAACCCCTGACCCTGGGGCCATTAAATTCACAAATCTGGAAGAGGCACTCTTGCACATCATAACTATGTTCTTACTAATAGTTAGTTTATTTAATACCAAGAAGCAGAGAAGAAAATTTTCAAGTAATAAATACATTTTCACTATATGATCTATACAGCCCCGCCCTAACACCAGAACCCCTGACCCTGGGGCCATAAAATTCACAAATCTGGAAGAGGCACTCTTGCAAATCATAACTATGTGCTGTGTTTGTTTATGTAATACCCAATTGCAGAGAAGAAGATTTTAAAGTAATAAATGCATTTTCACTATAAAATCTATAGAGCCCCGCCCTAACACCAGAATCCCTGAATCTGGGGCCATAAAAATTCACAAATCTGGAAGAGGCACTCTTGCTCATCATAACTATGTGTTTAGTTAATTTATTTAATACCCAATGGCAGAGAAGAAGATTTTCAAAGAAATAATGCATTTTCACTATATAATCTATAGAGCCCCGCCCTAACACCAGAACCCCTGACCCTGGGGCCATAAAATTCTCAAATCTGGAAGAGGCACTCTTGCTCATCATAACTATGTGTTTAGTTAGTTTATTTAATACCCAGGAGCAGAGAAGAAGATTTTCAAAGAAATAATGCATTTTCACTATATAATCTATAGAGCCACGCCCTAGCACTAGAACCCCTGACCCTGGGGCCATGAACTTTCACAATTTTGGTAGAGGACTCAATGCTCATTACATTCATGCCAACAGTTTGCCTGCTTGATGTCCAGGAGTAAAGAAGAAGATTTTTAAAGATTGCAATAATTTTAGTGGTTTTGGCCCCACCCCTCAGGCCCCAGGTGGGTGGGGACCATGAAATTCACAATTTTTGTTCCCCTCCACCCATAGATGCTGTATACCAAATTTGGTTGAAATTGATTCAGTGGTTCCAGAGAAGAAGCTGAAAATGTTCAAATGTTAACACACGACGCACGACGACGGACGAAAACGGATAGCAATAGGTCACCTGAGTTACTTAGCAGACAATTCTGTCAATGATAGATAAACAACAATAAACAAACAAATATGAACAGGAAATACCAATGAAATATTAAATATTGACTGTTGTTCAGATATCCTAAATTCTTAACAATCATCTCATTTTTACTGATCTTAAGAATATACACCTATTTTTGTGTTAATGAACAATCATTTAATTTCTATAAAATACTTGATTCAAATTGGATAAAAAATTCTTTTGATAACTGCATCAATAGAATCTGGAGTTCACTTGCACTAAGTATCCGGAACTACTTTGGCAGTCTTTACATGCATATTCCCACTTCCAGATTACTTTTTGAAGGAATAATTAAATATCTTTATTTTAATAAATATTTTCCTGAACTTCGAAACCTGTCCATTACGTTCCTTACTTATTTTCAACTTTCGTTTCTTTTTGAATTATCCCCCTTTGATAAACAAATCAAATCGTCTGCATAATAACATTATAGCCTACAGTTTGGGGGAATATGGAAAGAAATCGGCATACTTTTGTTAATGTTTGACTTTGAGATATCTGGTATGGGCAATGGAACTCTGGTGAAATGTGTCTTATGCTACAAAAGAGGGGGAAACCGTTAATCTGTTAAGTCTTGGGAAACGAATGATCGAGATAAACGACACTGCATGAATGAGGACGGAATTCTTTTAATCTTCAACTGTCAGCAGCAGTCTCTTTCAGGTTTTGCAGCATTGACAGGTAGTGATACGTATTTATGTGTTCGGTTTGAAATTCAGAATGGGATGAAAAGATGCGCAAATGAAATCCAAAATTTCTGTGACCTAGAACTGTTTGGATATTTGAGTAGCTTCCCTTTACATTTACGAACTTAGTAACTTACCGGGGAAAATATACCTACCTCAGGCTGGAATTAAAAATATCTTTGTTTCCCCTAACCCGACCCAGAATTCTCAATTTGGGTCGGTAGGTAGGTAAACAATTTTGTTTTATGACAGCAGCTTTGAAAATAAGTTCTAAAATTTAATAGAAAAAACTTTTTTAAGGAAGAAAAGAAGAAAACAAAGCGATTTGGGAACAAAATGCTAGGGATCAAACATATGCTGTTTAAACATGTTTAAGGAAAATTTATGATTAACTAATTTACAACTGTTATTTAGTTGAACTTGTCAGGTATCTCACGCCAGAGTATATTTATATAGATCGAAAAGATAAAGAAAAGATTCTCAAATACGCAAAGACCGGGGTCTGCCGTCATAAAACTTTGAGAATTCTCAAGGAAATTCTCAACTCAACTCTTGAGAATTACTCAGCTGAGAATTTGAGAATAAAAGAGTTTAAGGTATTTTTATTTTTCTCAACTTTTTTATGACGGCCACTGAGTCTGAGAATTTTGGATTTGAGAAAATTCTCAGACTTGACAGCATTTTCAGACTTAAGCATGTTTTATAACAGCGGACCCGGACATCCGAGTATATTTTTTCAAACCTTCCATCAGCCCCCAGTGCTTATACACAATCAATGTACTTTTTGAGGGCCATCAGATTTGCAGTGTTTCAAGAGCATTTTTGCTTTAGAGTTAAAGAAGTAAGTGTCTAATTTTAAGTCGCAGGTCCAAATACCAATAAGGAACGTTGAAAACAGTCTTTCAAAAGGGACCATAAAAACTTATGTCCAGTCTCGCAAAAGATGCTGGCTCAAAAAAGATCCCTTATAGTCTGACTAAAGCCAGTCCCTACTATATCTCTTCGTTAGTAGGGTCCCTACTAACGAAGTAATATAGTAGGGGCTGGCTTTAGTCAACGAAGTGATATAGTAGAGGTTGGCTTTAGTCAGACTGTCTGTGTTCCTATGTTTACTATGTGCCATTACGGAACCATAGGAGTTGTTGTAAATATGTCTGCATATTCATCCTCATAAATATAATTCAGATTTTTTTTCTTTAATGCCTTTATTTATGGGTTAAACTTCGTAACTATGACATTGTTTATACATGTAGCATATTGTTTAAATACTCTTTAAAATTAGTTTTGAAATTATGATTCGGCTTCCTGAGACGCCTATGGTGTATTTTTCTTTAATTACGCCCTCGAAGATTTGTTGTTTCTTTGCTTTTAATCCCTTCGAGATTTGTTTGGACGACATTTGAACATTTCCCAATTGCTCGAAATTTAGACGTACTCAGCACTTTTTTGCCATTAAGCAGTAAGGGATCCAGTCTGACTAAAGCCAGCCCCTACTATATCACTTTTTGAACTGGTTATGGTTATTAGATCAAAACACTAGGTGGGCCCCTCATCTGCTTATTAGGCCGGCCTTATATGTATACGTCGCCGTTGTTTTATTAAGAACCTTTTCTCAGAAATCACATCTTGGCGCCATTTTCTTCAATAAATCACAATAGAACAATGTCAGCCATTCTGTTAAAAACTGATTTTGATGAAACTTAGTTAACAATAAAAAAAATAATTGAATCTTCTTATTTAAAAGATCTTTTCAGTCAGTGCGATTTAATTGGGTCGGTCGCGTTAGGGGAAACAAAGGTATTTTTTATTTTGGCCTCATGGAATATAACACAAGTAAGTGTCTGTGTTAAAGAAATGTAAATTATTTCAGAAAATATTGGTAATGACAATAAAAATAGAGAACGTTTCTTCGTTAGAGCCATTTTGAATTTCAGCAACGTGAACGTTGTTGTGATGTATTCGTGCGCACGATTTTTGATGCGTAAATTTCATAGAAAAGTGAAAGAAAGTTTCATTTTTATACCCCCCGCTTGAAAAGTGGGAGGGTATATAGTAATCGTTAATTCCGTCCGTCCATCCGTCCGTCCGTCTGTACGTCCGTCCGTCTGTTACGCTTTGGGGTACCTATCTCTTATCCGCAACTCCTCTCATACCACTGAATGAAATTTGATGAAACTTTCACAGAATCTTTATTACATATTGCCAGTGTGCACCTCCTATTTTACTTTTTGATCCGACACATATTTTGGGTTTCCCGGCCACAGGAAAACATGGACTTTTTCACCAGTTATAACCATATGGGAGGCGGGGGGTATCATTTAGTGAGCTCATCGCTCACAGTACCTCTAGTTTAAATTTAAAATCATAATTAAATGATAAGAAATTAATGCAATATTTTTTCCTTTGATCGAAGTATCAAAGAAAAAATTTGGACAGAAAACTTTTTCATCAATGCACTATGAGCATTGATGAAGTTTTCCGTCCAAATTTTTTCTTTGATACTTCGATCAAAGGAAAAAATATTACATTCATTTCTTAAAAACATTCAAATTATTTATTTAAATAATAAAATGTTTTTTTGATTGTTAGTAGGGAATTATCTTTGCAGAAAAAAACGACCCATGTAAACGGTTCTATAATTTTTTTCTGCAAATTGCTTCGGCATTAATTCCCATACAAACAAACAAACAAACGAAGCATTTTATTGTTTACATGTACATCTGTATTAAAAATCATTGAAAAAAAAAATTAAATTTGTTAATATTAAGATGAATATGTCATTGTATGTAGAACTGATGGAACAGCCATTGTTCAAGAAAACTACACTCATGGATTGCTAAGTTATGTTCATGCACTGATTACTGGCAATGGTCTTCATAAGAAATAAATGAAAAAATATATATGGATGTAAATATAACATGTTTATGACTAAGGCATTTTTAGGAACTTGGGGGGGTGGGGGGGTGGGGGGGGTATTTTTGAGAGGTATTTCTCAAGAAACACTTTTGTTAAATGAATTTAATCAAACTGACCTTGACTTCATCCCCATACATCCTGAGACTGAAATCTTCTTTGTTCCTGTGTCTTTCTCCCTTGTACATGTAAGGGGTCTGGAAAATCAAAATCAGAATAAAACTTCTATATACTATGTTCTGTAATTTTTTTTAAGACTTAGTCCTTTAAAAATCGTTTTTCATGAACTACAGCTACTATTTTTTTTTGCAGAAAAAATTAAATTAACATTATAAAAATTGTATCACAACTTTTAAAAGCTGTTTCTCTACTAAATCTGAATGCATGTAATTGTGTTATCAGAAAATCAGAAAGGTAAACTTACAGCCAACGAAACATATTTAAGCTCACCTGGAGTTCTGTGGAATCTCTCTGTAGAGCTGTATATCGACCTGTCCACTTATAACAATGACATACCTGTAGTTCAGTTGAATCTCTCTGTAGAGCTATGTATCGAACGGTCCATTTGTAGTCCGGGTTCTCACACATCATCTTTTCTTCATCACTGATGTACACGTGTTCTGTCTGCTTGGCATGATCTGAAAAAAATATCACAATTTTACAGGTATTCAAATGTCTCTTTTTTAATAAACACTGGGAAAAATAACTTCATTGATTTTGAGGCGTTTTCCTTTTTCCATGAACATATTGGCGTGAATTTTTTTTGTGAAGATCACATGTTATTTTTGTGTGTATATCATACATGGTCCTTTGCATCTCCTTCTCAAGCAAAGAATTTACATGATAATCATGCGAAATTTCATATGAAGTTCATGCGAGCCCTGTAAAGCAATCACTTAAAAATAATAATTAAAGATATGAAATCAGTGTGTATCCTACAATGTAGCTATGAAATCAGTGTGTATCCTATCTATGAAATCACTGTGTATCCTAGCTTATGAAATCACTGTGTATTCTAGCTATGAAATCAATGTGTATCCTAGCTATGAAATCAATGTGTATCCTAGCTATGAAATCAGTGTGTATCCTATCTATGAAATCACTGTGTATCCTAGCTTATGAAATCAATGTGTATTCTAGCTATGAAATCAATGTGTATCCTAGCTATGAAATCACTATGTATCCTAGCTTTTAAATCACTATGTAATTCTAGCATTGTTTGCTAGCTTACCATCTATGTCCTCCAGTTTGAGTTTCCTCCTGTACTGAATACGGAACAAAAACAACTCCAGGATGAAGGCTAATACTATCGTCATGACAACCTGTAAAGGACATAATTGTTATACTAACCTTGAAAAAAAACTTGGTCAAAATTAGAACTGTTCAAAATGGACAAATACTCCCCACTGGGTTTTTGAGAGAAGGTGGCAAGTCGCTTCTACATGTGACCCTGGTTTTTTTTAAACTTTGAATTGTGGCCCAAGGTGTTATGGTTTAAACAAATACAGTGTATGCACCAACAATATGAGGTGCAGTTTGACTTTTGATTTGATATTTTTCTGTTGCTTTATATTCTTATCTTATTAAATTAGATTACTAAATGAGAGAGGGGGGTTAAGGTGCAGTTTGACTTGTGATTTGAATTTTTTCTGTTGCTTTATATTCTTATCTTATTAAATCAGATTACTAAATGAGAGGGGGGGGGGGGGGGGGGGGGGGGTGTAGTTTGACTTTTGATTTGATATTTTTCTGTTGCTTTATATTCTTATCTTATTAAATTAGATTACTAAATGAGAGAGGGGGGTTAAGGTGCAGTTTGACTTGTGATTTGAATTTTTTCTGTTGCTTTATATTCTTATCTTATTAAATCAGATTACTAAATGAGAGAGGGGGGGGGGGGGGGGGGGTTAAGGTGTAGTTTGACTTTTGATTTGATATTTTTCTGTTGCTTTATATTCTTATCTTATTAAATCAGATTACTAAATGAGAGAGGGGGGGTTAAGGTGCAGTTTGACTTGTGATTTGAATTTTTTCTGTTGCTTTTTATTCTTATCTTATTAAATCAGATTACTAAATGAGAGAGGGGAGGGGGGTAAATATCTCTTTATTAATCAATCCAAGATCATTTCTGCAGTAAAAGCAGACTTGTAACAAAGTGACAGAAACATTTTTGCTTCATTATAAGCATAACTCGTTATGTCCATGAAGTGTACAATATATTTTAAAGTAAAGTAAAACAAATAGCTAGCCTGTTTTGCTGTATACAGTATTTGAATTTTAACTTTATATAAATAATATAGCAACCGTTCTTCAAAATATTTCATTGTGTTTTCTAAATTTACAGCACTTTAAAGTTATTCATTCTAAATATTTATGTATCTACTACAATTATATAATTTCTTTTGAGTGTTAATAGGAAAATACAAAATCTTTAAAAAAAATTCATGCTAAAATCAATGCTCTCTTTATACATATTCATATAATATTACAAAGAAGAATTTCCCAAATCTCTAAAATAAAAAAAAAAATGAAGATATTTTTTTAAATTCACATGAAATGATCTAATGTAAAGTAGATCTTGTATTTGAGGTCTTTAAATCCCCTTCTAGACCAGGAAGTATAAACACCTGACAGGTAGATAACACAGGTGTGTCACGTGATCTAAGTACATAGAGGTAGACAGGAGATCGATTAACAGGATAGTTGCCATTACTGAAGTCAGGTAAGAAACATTAATTTTTTAAGTATTTCTGTGCATAACAGTTGAGAGTCATTGAAAATTAAGTAGTACAGGCTTTAACTATGAAAATAAAATATTATACCTGAAAGATTCAATGAACCTTGTACTGTAACAGTATATGTAATGTGATGCATTGTTTTGTCGACATGTGTATCTACATGTACCTATGACCTCAAACAAACTGTGGTTCTGGAGTCCAAAAAATGTATGATGACCTCAACCCAGTCAATATTTAAATATACATTGAATTTTTTATGCTTCAGACACAAAATCTAATGATGGACCCCCGTTCCAGTGCCCAGGATGTGATGCGATGTGACCTGTGTGAGAACACTGTGGTGCAGATGCATTGTGATACATGTCTTGTCAACCTGTGCGTAGCTTGTGTGGGAGTACATTTTTCTGCTGATCTCTCAAAACCTCACAAAATTGTCGACTTCAAGGACAGAAAATCCACTCCCCTCTACCCTAAGTGTAAATCTCATGACAAAGAACACTGTAATACTGTAAACAATGTGACATTCCTGTCTGCATCAATTGCATTGAATCTAATCAACATTTAGGTCATGAATTATCTAAAATTCTGCGAGTTCTGAATGAAAAGAAGGATATTATTATAAAAGAGAGAAATGAATTAAATGAAACAATTTACCCCACCTACCAGGACATTGCCTCTGATGTACAAAACAGAATGAGTCAGTTGGAAAAGGAATATGGAGATCTTTTCACAGCCATAACAAAACATGGAGAGAATTGGCACAGAGAAATTGACAAACTTGTCAAGAAACTTAAAGCTGAAGTTGAAGAGATGAAAAACACACAGATACAAACTCTACAGAAACATCTGGATGAAATAAACAAGACAATGTCTGACATCAAGAATGAAATCAATTCAATGGAAACTGCAATAGACACCAATGACATGTCTAAACTATTGAGTGTAATGTCCAATGTACAAACATACAGAAATCTTCCACACAAAATAATGCTGTCCTTACCTAAATTTATTCCAGGAAAAATACAAGGAGAAATTAACAAAATGTTTGGAGACTTATCAACAAGTTCTCTAACATCAGAAGAACATGGCTATAGCATGAAGACAATACAGAAATCACCAGAAGCTGGATCCTCTCCTTCAGTCAAACAACTGCTTGATGAACCAGAGACTGTCACCACCATAAACACTGAGTATAAATATTACCTTATCACTGTGTCCTGTTTGAGTGATGAAGAAATCATGACAAGTGGAGATGACAACACCATGAAACTCTACAGCATCAATCAGGGATCACTACTCAAGTCAATGACAACCAAGTCAAGGAATGAATTATGTTACATAGCAGTGACAAAAAGTGGAGATCTAGTTTATACTGATTACAAAGATAGAACTGTGAACATTGTGAAGAATGAGAAGATAGAGGAGGTGATCAGACTACAGAACTGGAGACCTCGCGGTGTCTGTAGTACCTCCTCTGGTGACCTCCTGGTTATCATGATCAGTGATGATTACAAACAATCAAAAGTTGTCCGTTACTCTGGCTCCACAGAGAAGCAAACCATTCAGTTTGATGATAAAGGTAAACTCCTGTATTTATCTGGTAGATACATTACTGAGAACAAAAACTGTGATATTTGTGTGATTGACTGGGGAAATAATGCAGTAGTGGTGGTCAATCAGGCCGGGAAACTGAGATTCAGGTACACTGGGCATACTCCTTTTCCAAAGAATAAACCATTAGATCCACGAGGAATCACCACAGACAGTCAGAGTCACATCCTTACGGCTGATATTGACAATGACTGTGTCCACATCATAGACCAGGATGGACAGTTTCTCCGTTACATAGACTGTGGACTAAGTTATCCCCAGGGACTGTGTACAGATACAAATGACAATCTGTTTGTTGCTCAATATCAAAACAAACAAGTGAAGAAAATCAAGTATATGCAATGATATTCATCACTGCTATATATATATAATTAAAGCTGTATGTAACATTGTTGATGAATCAGTATGGTAGACAATGGAATCTTGCAATAATACACATTTCACTCCTACTATCAATGCATATCTTTTATCATTGAAAAAAAAATGTACACTGAAAATAAGCAAAATTTCAAACTAGCAATAGAGATTATTATGTATACTTCTAAAAATAGTTTTCATTGTTTCATTAAAGGCTTAGTGAAACAAGAGTCCCACAGATAGGGCTGTCACGGTTCCAAAATTTTTCGGGTCGGGTTGGTTCTGATTTTTTAGGGTTCGGTTTCGGGTTTTTCGGTTCGGGTAGGTAATGGAATAAAAGTTCCAGATTTGTATTATTTTCAACAACAAGAAGAATATTTTCATTTAATCTTAGAAATAGCAATATTATTAGAAGTTTAAAGTAGTTTCCTGACTAGAAAACAATTGTACCAAATTATTTAAATCACCTTATAATGGTAATGTACATACTAACAGATCTCTCGTTTTGGACCCCATTTTTATAGTAAAATCTACTCTACTATACAAATCGGAACCGAACCGTATTCCGGAAAAACGGAACCGTACCTGACCTGAATTAATTGTTCCGTGGTTCCGGGTCATTTCGGGTACCCGTGACAGCCCTACCCACAGGCCTTATAGGTTACCTGTCAGTATCATGCAACAACTTTCCAACAAGTGTGAAATGAGAATGTACCAAGTTTATCCATAAGAAAGATATGGATCAGACATGAATTATGAACTTTTTCTTCCAGTGACCTTGAACTTCCCCAAATAGTTACTTGGGAAAAGACCTGCTCCAAAAACTTTAACCTGGTCACTCATCTAGAAAATTTATGTCAGATCCAGCATCCGAAGCAATTCTGGTGGTGTACATCCCTATATGCATCATCAATACAAGTTTGGTCCAGGTAGGGCGTATAGTTTCTAGGGAATGGACCTGCTCCAAAAACTTTAACCTGGTCACTCATCTGGAAAATGTAGGTCAGATCCAGCATCCGAAGCAAGTCTGGTAGTGTTCATCACTAGACGCATCATCCATGCAAGTTTGGTTCAGGTAGGGATTATAGTTACTTGGGAATGGACTTGCTCCTAAAACTTTAACCTGGGACGCCGACGCCAACGCCGGGGGTATAGCATAAGCTCATCTCAACTTCGTAGAGGTGAGCTAAAAAGTAAACAGATGTAGCAGACAGATGTATTAAAATTCTATAAGCATGTGCAGCAGTAGCCCTGCAATATTACTCCCATGGGACAAATGGATTTTCACTCTCTCCTGTGTGATGCTATTAAGGCCAAAAAAAAATTAATAGTTTCTCAGGCCAAAAAATTCCAAATTCAATGCGGCAGGCAGGCTTTTTTTTTTTTTTTTTTTTTTTTTTTGAAGCAGGTTTAACACCTTTTCTAAACCATTTGTTCAATAAAATGATAATATCTACCAATTCTTCATTTGTGTTCTCTGAAATTGGTTGTAATATGTATTCAACTTTAAATAATGTTACCCCAAACATTTATATAAAAGTTAATTAATATAATACTGAAAATTTAGAAGAAATGTAATATTTTCCTACTAAAAACGTTTATCTAAGCATTTAGGAAAAGGGGAATAACTCGATTTTTTCTACTTGGAAAATATGGAAAATTGAGTTATCTTTCTTTTCCTGAGAAACTATTAATTTTTTGGTCTAACTGCTTTTTTGTAGTACAGTATAATTGCATATCGGTATTTATATCATTACTGAAATCAAATATATTTATGATGACCATGGAGGTTTCTTTTTTTTCAAAAAAGAAATTGATAATTTTTCCTAAACATTGTTTGCTTCACTAAATCTTTTTTAATCTTCTTAACCTTCAAGGATGGGATGACATCTAATGATTTTCTCTTACCATCATAACAATGTAGAATGTCTTAACAATTTAGAACATCATAACGATGTAGAACATCATTAAGATAAGATGACATTTAATTTTGTGTATTCTTACCATCATAACAATGTAGAATGTCATGAAGATGAGATGACATTTAATATTGTGTATACTTACCATCATAACAATGTAGAATGTCATGAAATAACAATGTAGAACATCATCAAGATAAGATGACATTTTAATTTTGTGTATACTTACCATCATAACAATGTAGAATGTCATGAAGAATGTTCGGGACACTTCTCCTGTGTGATGAGCAAATCCTTCCTATAAACAGCAAAAAAAAATGTTATGTAGACCATTACAACTTTATCTGACGTAGCTGGAATTACCAGCTTTTTCTCAGGAGAATGCTATTAAAATGTCTTTATGACTATCTGCTAGTTAGAAACCTGATCAATTGTTTTTGCCTTTTACATCTCAAAGGACATGGTTCCCAGCAATAAATTATGAAATATTCTGTCCAAATTCTTGTTATACTTACCATTATTATGAACCAGTTGTTGACCACTGTTAGCTCAAACAACGTCACTACAATAGACGATACAAATAAAGATTGGTAAATATGTACTTCAAATTTTCAGATTTTAAGTATATTACAGAGATTATTACATCAATATAAGAGCATAACAAATGTTGAGTGAGCTAGAAAGGTTTTTATTGAATGAATGAGAAACAACACATGGTTTACATAGAAATGTACAAAAAAATGTATATGTAAAGTCAATAATCCCTGTTTAAAGGAGTTAATTGTAAAACATAACCTAGTAAATTACTGAGTATACTTACCATCAGATATTAATATATTTCTGAAGTCATTGAGGTAATAATATCCCAGTCTGTTGATTTACTGAATACTTACCACCAGATATAAGTACATTACTGAAGTCATTAACCCTTTCTCTTCCGGCGCATTTTACGTGATTTTGGAGTCCTTTTGACATGGCATTATTAAATTATTTCTAACTTTTTTATCCAAGGGGAAAGCTAGGCATAATGCATACCATTTTGTAGGAAATTTCTTACAGATGATTTTTTATGACTGTTTAGATACTCAACCACTGACCTTATTAGTAAAAATTGAGGTCAAAGGTCAATTAAGTGCAAAATTTTATGGAATTTTTTGATACTTTTTCATCTTTAAGCTAAGTATTAAGTATGATGTATGTTGAAATAGGAAATTTGGGATATACTCACAAAAGAGCATTATACTGTACTACATGAAACACATAAACTTGTTTTCAATTCTGCATATAACTACTTAAAAGGGGTTGCTAAGCAACGCAGAATTCTTTAATTTTCGGGCAGAAATTTTCATTTTTTACTTATCCTAGACACATTTATGCATCCCAGCACATATAAAGTTAGATGTGAGGTCATAAAATTACAAGGGACATACAACAGATAAATTGTCTTAAAGTTTGACCTCATTAGAACTACTTTTAGGAGGTCAAAGGTCAAATAATTGCAAAAGATTCATCAATTTTTTTCAACACTTTTCAATATTCTTGCCATAATTTTACACAATGGATGCTGAAATGGAAAATTCTGAATATACTCTCAAGAAGGGATCAAAATTGCAATATCCATGCATCATTTTATTTCAAATATCTGTTTAATGACCTTTAAGTGGTTGCTAAGCAACATCATTTTAAAGTTTTTGGCTATATACATGTTTGTTATTTCACATTCTGGACACATTCTAGACACTTTTTGTATATTTCATGATATTGTTTGTAAGATATGGGCCATAAAGACGAAAGAACATTTTTGTATTAAAAATTGACCTTGACACTCTCGTTCTTTGGGGGGTCAAGGTCATATCAGTACAGAATTCTGCTTTAAACTGTAAGTAAATATCAATTTTGAAATGCTTCAAACATGGATAAATCATCTAATAGTTGATGTAATAAAAATGGCGAACGACAAAATTTGCAAGCAAAGAATTCTGGTTTGCTTCTTACAAAGCCCTAGCAAAACATGTATACTATCTTTTTGTTAAACAAGAAATCCATTCACTTGATGCCATTAAAAATAATCTTTATTTTCATGGATTTAATGTAACAAGAAAAAAACTAAATGATTTCATTACAAGATTTTTCTGGTATAACAGAGCTTAAGGGGTACAATAAAGACTTGACATGTTATCTTGGAGGGAAATAATAATAAATAAATAGATAGCATTGGCAATATTTAACACAAAACTGTTTAGTCAATAAGTTGAAAATTTGACGCTTATATCCAAATATATAAATCCAGAAATATTGCAAGATGAATTCCAAATCAGACTGAAATCTTCAACAAAATGTTGAAGAGCATTTTTACTTTCTGTCCACCATTCTTTTAGCAACTGTCATTTCTCTGTAAGACTGGAGGAAATTCTTTGACTTGTCCAAGACATTATTATTTGCTGTCAAGTACAAGAGATCAGCTTCTATCCTGTAAAAGATTTAAGTATTTCAAACAGATACATTTCATTGTGAATATAAATTTATATTTATAAATAAAATTAAGAATGCTAAAATTACTACATTTATTTGATTTTCCTTTTAAAATTAAAATTGTATTTATTATGTGATCCAAGTAGTTAAATGATATTGTTAAGTCAATGTATCAGGACTGATAATTCAACAACCTTGTAGTAAACCATCATGATAAAATTACTGAACTAAAACAAATAGCATATATGGCAATCTGACTAAAGCCAGACCTCTGTTTACGCTATCGCAACATGTTAAAAAAATCTGGCATTAGATTGCTACGAAAGCCATGAAGGGACACGTAATTTTTTCAAAAAAGTAAAAAAAAATGATATCAAATTGAATTAGACAATCCAATCCCACAATAACTAAATCGTTCCCTCAATTTATAATATGAGATTTCGAATTACACAATCCGATCTTTAGGATTACTAATTCGCCCCCTTGATTCATAATTTGAGATCTCGAATTACATACCGGTAATATGTTTTCACAGATTGATAATTCGACATCTTGATTTGTTACAACGTCAGTCTTATGATTTTGGAAATCTGTGCTCTTGAATTTCATTACATATATGTACAGATACATCCAACCATTTTAATCAATAAGTGCGTTCTATTTATTTTGTTTCAGCAACCGGTCGTTTCCAACCTCTCTCATAACTAATTCAACGTACATTTATTTTAGAAATATTATGATTACATAGGACCCATATTCACTTTTACAACTAGGACTTTCAATTATTCTAATATACAACTAACACAAAAACCTCTAAGATTTTTTGTTGTACAAATATCAGTACTAGCACATGGATTTGGAAATTTTCATGTTTTTTTCTCATTTTGGACCGTAATAAGTAATAAAAGTTAGGATGTAAAATACTACAATATTCTTTTTTTTAAACATGTATTACCATATCCGATATGTACAGATAAATAATTTAAACGAAATCATGGGAAGGGTTTACATTCCGAGGGAATGTATCATTTAAACTAAGAGAATGAATTTTACAATCTGAGATAACGGATTGTGTAATTTGAGGGAACGAATTGATAATCTGTGAGAATGAATTGGCAATTTGTTAAAACAGATTGTCAATCCGAGAGAACAAATTGTATATATCAAGAACTCGGTTTACTTTTATGAATTTTAAAAATTCTATGTCCCTTCATCATGATGTTCATGGTTTTCATAGATTTTATACCTGCATGGCTGCCAGGGTTGTAAAAAGAAAGGAGACAATAGACTGCAATGTTACTTCAGGGCAAAATTCCTTGGAGCAAGGCTGTTCGTGAGCATGGGAGTGTTGATAAACCATCCAGTGAGTTTGACCACCCATGTACATGATGTACCATAATTGGAAAGTGTCTGAAAAATTGAGAAAATTGAAATTCTAACCACATACTTTATGCAGATTGGAAATACAACAGCAGTCTATAAAAACAGCTTGTGCCATATCTCCACATTCATTCAGATAGATAATTAAATACATGGTTAAATAATGTGTCTGTATGAATAATCAAGCATCATAAGTATTATGTGTTTCAAACACTTATTTTTCAAAATATAAATCAAATGTTTATAAACTTGTATGAATGCAATTTCATGAGAATGACACAAATGAAATTAGACTTTATTTTTTGAAATTTTAGAAATACAGAAATTTTCAATACCAAAACAAAAATTTACCTGTTCATTGGTGTCCTTACATATTAATGACCTTCGTAGTTCATGGTGGGCTTAGAAAGTGGGTATTCACAGATGAAAGTATTGTTGTATATGGTGAAAGCACCCTAAAAATTCAATGTGAAAGTGGTACATGTACACACTGGTACTGTACATACATACTGAAAACAGCTATCCATTATTATGACAACTTTGATTTTACTTTGAACTTACGAGTGATTGTCAAAAGCATCAAAGTTCAAAAGCAATGCAAAATTGGCTGAACGATACGAAATACACTGAAACATAAAGATCTAGTACATGTGTACATTTAGTTTTCTTTTGAACGTGAACTAATGCGTTTTAAACTTAAAACTTTTCAGTCAATATACACGTATTCTCACCTGCTAATACCAAAGGCATGTCCGTATTATTTGATTCATTGATGTGAGGATCTTCGTCGTGAAATAATCATGAAAATTAACGTTCAGATTTCGGATCATGTTTTTGTTTACATCTACTACAGCGGAAACACGTGGTTATTTCAATCCGTATCAACTCATACAGTGATGAGTCGTATTTATTTATAAATGCGAGTTCTTGTATTGTTAAATTTCGTTCCAATATTATATAGATCTAATTGAATTGCAAATTAATAAGTATACAGTATAACAAGATACAACAATATTAAAAACCTGATTTATTTTTTTTTAGTAAAGATCGACGTTTTGGAAATCTACAATTTTTATCAATATTTGTATATCACTTCAAGAAATATAGGCCTACATCATGACATGTAGATGAATAAATCAACATTCACTTCACAAAAGGCAGAACGAAAGTATATATTTGTTTTTTAAAATCTATTTTTTTTTTTGTATTATGCATTTATTTCAGTAAAAAATATATTTAAATGGTCAAAAAAGTCTTATAAAAGAATTTTTTGTTTCGAGTAAGACGCAACAATATCGACCTTGACGTTACATGTAAATATTGACCGATTTTTCCATAAAAACTATGCGAAGGTCACAAATTCAAATTATCGTAATTAAGAAAATACTGAGCGTAAGAAGACCTATAAGGGCTTGTTGGAAAGGAAATTTTCTCTTCTTTTACCAGCTTTATTTTGTTTTCCCTATTTCAACACAGAAATAAACGTAAAACTGAGCTTTGTTTAAATATTACGAATAAAATGGAGAAAAAACACAAAAGTGCAAGAAAAGTCTTGTTTTTAAAATATACCTTAAAGTAATAGCAATAATTTTTACATATTTTAAAAGTAGAGAAAATATGCTTTAAGAATATACCATGCTTTCTTATAAAGTTAATCAGGAAAAAAATTGTCAATCGTCTGGAAAATCGGCAATCGCTTTGGAAAATTACGCAATTTTCAAAAAATCTCGTTTGTCTTTACAACGTAAAATCGATTAAATACCGGCAATCAAGATATAATCTTTTTAGATATTTAAAAAGTAGAGAAAATTTCCAAAAAGATGATATACAGCTTATATACCTTCATGCTACCACAAATTATATACGGAGATCTTATTTTCGCGAAGTCGTGTTTTAACGCGCCACCGGTCAATTTGACCGGTACGGAAGTGAAGGGGTTAAGGTAATAATATCCCAGACTGTTGATTTTACTGAATACTAACCACCAGATATGAGTATATTACTGAAGTCATTGAGGTAATAATATCCCAGACTGTTGATTTTACTGAATACAAACCACCAGATATGAGTATATTACTGAAGTCATTGAGGTAATAATATCCCAGACTGTTGATTTTACTGAATACATACCTCCAGATATCAGTATATTACTGAATACAAACTTCCAGATATAAGTATATTACTGAATACAAACCTCCAGATATAAGTATATTACTAAAGTCATTGAAGTAATAATATCCTAAACTGTTGATTTTACTGAATACAAACCTTCAGATATAAGTATATTACTAAAGTCATTGAAGTAATAATATCCTAAACTGTTGATTTTACTGAATACATACCTCCAGATATCAGTATATTACTGAATACAAACCTCCAGATATAAGTATATTACTGAAGTCATTGAGATAATAATAGAGAGGTTGAGATTTCAAACGTGTACGTGTACGGGTACGTCTAGGAGGGGAATAACCTAAATTCTGTGTGTATTACGTCATCAATTTTAGTGACGTCAAGATTGCTACACGTTCGCAAAACTTGTAGAATGGAATCTACACGTAAGTGAAAACGTGTAGCTTAGATAATAAAAATAAGCCAATTCAAGTGTGAAAATGTGATTGTTTAACATTATATTGGATGTTTACTTTCACGGGCACTTATTTTCATAAGTTTATATACTGACGACAAAAAACCTTCTAAATAGTAGAAATATAGACACCGATCGCGCTGTACACGTACATGTTACACGTCATAAAAATCTCAACAGACAAATTTAAAATAACGTGTACGTGTACGTCAAAATATCTACAAGTACACGTACGCGTACAAGTTTACGATCTCAACCTCTCTAATATCCCAGACTGTTGATTTTACTGATTTCATACATACCTCCAGATATAAGTATATTACTGAAGTCATTGAGGTAATAATATCCCAGACTGTTGGTGTTGTTGCTAAACTTGTAGAAAGCTTCAACACTGGTGTTTCTGCAAAGATAATTCTGTACATTTACAAAAGTTAACATGTTTAAATCTCCCTCTCCTTTCTCTCTTTTACTGAAAGTTCCATCAGAGAAAAATCATTAAAATAAAATTTTGATTCTCTGTGCATATGGATAATATACCTATTATCTTTTATGTATATTTTACAGTAGATTTCTGGACCAGACAGTAGTCATTGGTGGGTGATAACTTACTTGAGTGATAACTTACTTGAGTGATAACTTGAGTGATAACTTACTTGAGTGATGACTTACTTGATTGATAACTTACTTGATTAACTTACTTGAGTGATCACTTACCTGAGTGATAACTTACTTGAGTGCTAACTTACTTGAGTGATAACTTACTTGAGTGCTAACTTACTTGAGTGATAACTTACTTGAGTGCTAACTTACTTGAGTGATAACTTACTTGAGTGATAACTTACTTGATTAACTTACTTGAGTGATCACTTACCTGAGTGATAACTTACTTGAGTGATAACTTACTTGAGTGATAACTTACTTGCAGCAGTTTTTGAGATCAACATACAGGAAGCACTCCATGGCAATAATGGCAAAGAAATAGTAGACTAGCATAATGACAACCACTAGACTAAAACAAAATAGGTCAAGGTTAAACTAAGGTTAAACTAAATATAGCACAATCATCATTACATGTATATATCTATAAAAAATTGCACCGTTTACAGTTCTTAAAATGATAATTTTTTAAAAATAATTGTAAAAATCTGCAAAACAAACAAAAGTAAAAAATCATGTTAAATAAAAATTAATGTAAAATTAAATCAACAAAATTCCAAATTGAGATGTTTACCTGATTAGCCTAGAGAATAGAATAAACAGAGTTCCTAGAACATCCCTGTAACTCCTCTTCATCTTAAACAACCTGATCAAATAACAAGTCAATAATCAGTCAAACAATTATAAAGTAAACAACCAAACTTTTATTGCAATAAACATATTTTTTCAATCCTTGTAATATTGCTGCTGTTTACTCAGTTAATATGTATGTGTTTCATAAACAGTTTTAATACAATATTTAAGAATTGTGCAAAAGAATCATTAAAATATACATTAAATTTTTTATTATGTAGAGAACTATCATAGGCATTTATGCCTGCTGTTCAATCTAATTCAATGAATAAAATATATTTTGAACTAAATTTTTTATTACACTAACATTCCTTTACCTGAGAAGTCTGAATGGCCTGAGGACAGTGATGTAGAAAAAAGAATCATTAAAATACTCTCCCAGTAAACCTATAACACTGGTCACTGTTACCAGGAAATCAAACCTAAAAATAACAACAAATATAGCCTTGTCACAATCAAACCTAAAATTACAGTATAAAAATATATGCTGGTCTCAATTAACAATTTACAAAAGACTGACTGGTTTCAACATTAGTGATGTACACAGGGTTATTTTCGCCCTTACTAACAATTTTGCCCCCTTTAAATTAACCTAGTCATAGTTCGGTTAAAAAAATTCTGTGTTATTTGAATTCGTCCTTTTTAAAATTTGCTCAAATGTGATTAGGGCCAAAAATAAAATGGGGTGAAATTTGCCTTGTAGGCTATACATTAAACCTAACAATAACTGTAAATTGATCATTCCAACAACTCAATTAAATCAAAATTGGTTTCTCATATCTGATATATAAGTTGCTGATTTGAAAACAGATAAACTGATACTTCTTCCAATCAACTGGGATTTTATTACATTTTATATCATAAAGGAGCTAAAAATAAAGTTTCTTACACATCCCATCCTGTTGTGAAATATTCCAGTGGACCCTTGGCAAGAATTTTTATTGAGGCCTCTAAGGTGTATACTGAAAGGTTAATAACAGCACATCATAAAATGCTCAAAATAATGCACTGATTACAAATTTCAAGATTAAACATAAACATTTAAAAGGGAAAAGGAAAATAAAAGATAATATAATAAAAAAAATTATTAGTGGCTTTGATGATTTATTGAAGATGCTTTTTTAAAAAAGGTGTATTTCCCAAACAATGATTTGGTACTGCCTTACCCCCTCCCCCCCCCCCCCTCCCACCATCGACCTAAATAAAAGACAAGTTGTGGTGTTACTTACTGCATACAAAAATGATGGAAGCCCATGTGATTGTAAAGTTGTAATGTTTTACATCAATGTTCTTTTCTGTAAATAAGATTACAGTTTTAATATTTAGTTGATGGAGTGCCAGTACATGTACATTTAGACAACTCAACCATAAAAAACTCAAACCACAAAAACTCAACTATACTTTTACAAGAAGTATACAAGAGCACTAGTAAAGTTTTAAAGTTGTTGATACATACTTGACAGTGATATTGTCTCCACTAAAATCCATATAAAATTAGCTGCAATCACCAGATCTGGGGAAAAAAGACATTCATTAATTAAAAAAATATATGCAATTTATAAACTTTCACATGTATGTTCATGTATGCTTTTAGTGTGTACATAAAGCTTTATTTTCTATAGTTAAGATACTTACATATGAATACCTCAAACCATCGCCAATTAATGAAATCATTTAATTCTGTAGGAAAATAAGATGCATAAATCATTAAATGTATGACTGTGATAATAAACCCACTATTGACACATATGCCCATCTTTC